GGTATAAGAATTTTGATTAACCTAACCTAATCTGGCTGTCAACTACTCTAAACCAGAGTTTAACTTAATTTATAATTTCAGATTAAGTAGTCCAGCTTACTTAATAAGTATTATTAGACTTTTAGAATAAATAAATCTCCTTATTAAATTTAATTTTAAAACTAATTAATTTAATACTTTTCTATTTACTTTTATATTTAATTTAATATTAATAAATGTTTTAATATATATCTTAAAGTCTAGTTTAATTTAAGTTAGTAACTAACCTTGTTAAGAAGATAAATATTTTAAAAAGATTATTAAATATATATTTTTATACTAAATTATATTCTTTATTTAATTTTTAATTATATTAAGAATTAGTAGAGTTATTAAAAAAGTATTTATTTTAATTTAATATATTAGATAAATTAAATATATAAATTAAGTATCCTATATAATAGCTGTATAATATTATCATAAAATAAAAATATAGCTAATATATTAAATTAAGAATATATAGTTAAGTAAACTAAGGACTAACTAAAATTTATTTTATAAATCTTATTGAATTAAGTTCAGCCTACTTAAGGCTCAGCTGAGCTGAGTAAGCCTTGAGCTTTTAGACTGGCTCTGTCATATCTACTTAGTATTAATATAAATATTAAAAAATCTAAAAATTTGATTTTTATATATTACTAAATTTAACCTACTATATCTTATTTTAGAGATATAAATAAATTTTATAACTATTAATAGTAGTTGTAGATAATAAAATAAGAATATTATTAGAATTAAAATGAATTACTATATAGAATTTAGTAAATTATTATTATCTTTTTAGATTAGATTTTTTATAAGAATATCTTATATTCTATAATTAAGGACTATTTTATTAGTATTATTCTTTAAAATGAAAAATTATAGTAAGGTTTTTATAAAAAGATATTATATACATTGAATATTAATAATACTATACTTAATATTAGGAATTATATTTATATAAGTATTAAGATTTTATTAACTGTATTTATTTTAAGGAGTTAAATTAAAATAAAGAGTAAAACTCTAATTTTATTTAATTCTCTGAATTAATTTCTTTAACCTATAATTTTTAAATTTAATTAGATTTCTTAATTTTTCTAAAATATTAATTTATAAGATATTAGTAGTGTTATATAAATGATAATATAATTATTTTTAAATCAAATAATAAATATAAAGTCTTAGAAAGTATAGTATCTCTTTATTAAAATAGAATTATTTTTATAATATATTTAAATCTTTTTATTCTTACTTTTATTTTTACTATTAAAAATATAGATTTTAATAATGATTAATAATCAATATTATCTTATTATATTTTTATAAAATTAATAAATAAATTTTATAATATATTAATTAAAATCAGGAAATAATTTAATAAGAAATTTTGTATTCTTTTTATTATTCTAAAAAAATACTATTCTAATATAATAAGATAAATATATAATTTATATAAATTCTGATTATTTTATTATTATATTTATTTAAATTAATTTATTGTATCTAATTTAAATATGGCAGTGTTTCATAATAAAAAAGGTTATCTAAAAAAATAATAATTAATTAATAAGTTTTTTCCATAAGAAATAATTTTTTAAAGTATTAGTACTATCTTTATTAGTAGGTAATATTTATAATTTTATAATTTTAAAGAACTTTTAATAATTAATATTAAATTTAAAAAATATCTTTTAAAATTTATAATTTAATTATAAAATTATTTCTATTACTTCTAAATATTGAAGATTAATTTAAAATAAAAAATATCTTTAATCTTAATCTAATTTTGAATTATATAAAAGTAATAAAATCTTCTATTAATAATTTAATATAAAATTAAGATTATATTATTAAATCTTTTATTTTAATTTAGTACTTTACTATTATAATTATTAATAATTCTAAAATCTATTAATAATATTCTATATTACAATAAGGTTTTCTATCAAAAAATTATAAGTAATTAAAGTATTTCTAATTCTAAATTATTTTTAGAATATAATTATTAAAATTATATTCTATACTCTTCTTTTATAAGTAGTTAAAAAGAAAAAAAATAGAATTTTAAAAAAAAGATTAATCAAGTATAGATTTAAAATACTAGTATTATACAATTATAGTTTAATTTTTATTTTTCTAAAGTATAGTAAAACCCAGATATTTAAAATATCGATTCTATTAAATTATTAATATTATAACTATTTGTCAGATATACAGCCCTACTTAGTCTAAACTAGTTTAATAGACCAGCTGAATTATTCTTTCCTTAATAAGCTTCATAAATCATACCACCCAGATGGCATAATCTACTCCTGACTACTCATCCCTGAACTAACCCACTTCTTAATCAGGAAATAATTAATAATCTGATTAAGGTGTAAAAAAGGTTTATTTTCTTATTATTCTCTTAATTAGTTTAATTATTCAAATTATTATATATTAAACTCACTATCTTATTTATTTTATTGATTTATTGTTTCTTTATCACATTTATTATTTTTTATATATCTTTTACTTCTACCTTACCTTTACCTCACTTTCTTACTATATTTCTATATAAAAGTGAGAGATAAGTAAAGTTAATCAGAAATATATATCAGAACTTCTTTATATTAAAGACTATTTTATAACTAAAATATAAGTATTCTGTTATAAAAACTACTTAGTTATATAGAATAGAGTAGCTTAATCTTACTATTATATCTTAATCTTAATTTAATTATAATTTAGTAATTAGATTAAGATATAAAATCAGATTAATTATAAATATAATAATTAATTATAATTAATTATTATACCTTAATTAAATAAAATTAGATAGAATTAAATAAAAATTAAGTAGAATAAAGTGGAAATTAGATAGAAATATTCTATTATTTTATACTATTTTTTTAAATAAATCTAATTATTAAGAAATTTAATCTATAGATTAATTATTTATTAAACTAGATAAAAATATATATTTTTTATATTTAATTATTAATCTATAGTCAGGTATAAAAATTTTGATTAACCTAACCTAACCTGGCTATTAGCCACTCTAATATGGATTACCCATGATAATAATATATATAGAAATTTTAAAATATTTCCTAGTATCTCCAGATACTTAAGCTTCTATAGTATTAATTAAATAATATAACTACTTTATTATTAAGAATAATATTTTTAAAATTATTTAGAGTCTAGTTATATAGAATAAAATATAATTTCAAATAATTATTTCTAGAATAAAACCCAGCTTAATAATTAATTTAATTGATTTTAAATAATAGATATAGAGAATCTTATATATAAATAAAAAACTAATTAATATTTTAAAAATTAATATTTATAAGGACTAAGGGGTGAAATAGTATAATAAATAAATATTCTTTATAAGAGTTAAAGGTAGTATTATCTTATCTTAAAGTATTATTACTAGTTTCCTATTCTTATAAGTAGCTGCTACTTATATAATAGTTATAATTACTGTAAGGACTAATATCCTTACAACCTTCGCGATAAGCTTATTGTGAAGGAACATCAACTACCCCTGCAAGAATAAGATAAGAGATCATATGAGAGACTAGGCAAGTAGCCGCAACCACCACACAAGTAGCAGCTACCCGTGAGAATAGGAAACCAGTGATAATACTTTAAGATAATATAACACCACCTTTGACTCTTACAAGGGATATTCATTCATCATACTATTTCACCCCTTAGTCCTTATAATTACTTACCTAGTCTCTTATATAATCTCTTATCTTATTCTTATAGAAGTAGTTAATATTTCTTTATAATAAGCTTATTATAAAGGTTGTAAGAATATTAGTCCTTACAATATTTTATATAATTTTTTATATTTAACCCTGTTTTCTCTAATTTTTATAATAATAATTTACTTTATAAAATTAGAGATCTGAATATAACTGGAATAATAAATACTTTAATATATTTAATATAAATTCTTAAATAAATATTAAGATTAAAGTTTTATTTATATATTTTCTAATTAAAATATTTAAAAGTATTTTAGTAAATATTTATTTAAATTTTAATATCACTAATATTAATTTCTATATAATATAAAGTTAATATCTGGATTTAAATTCTTATAATATAACATTAACTCTTTATTCTATCTAGACTAGTATACTAAATTATTAAGAAAGGTCTAGATATAAATATCTTAAAGCTATAGAAATCTTTTTTTTATTAAGATCTATAAAACTATTAAAATAATATATTATAAATTAATATAATAATCTTTTATATAGATTAGTATAAGATGTAATAATACTAGATTACTAGTATATATAACTATGTAATACCAAGCTCTGAAGACTAAAGAATTCCACCTCTGTACTTTAAGGATACTTTAAAAGTACCTGCCAAGAGAAAAGTTCAGTGTATCATGAATGCTTCACCGCTTACGCGGCAGAATTTGGTTCTATGTTGAACTTTTTTTTGGACCACACTGAGCTGGCACCTGTTTGCAGTAACTAAGTTACTAATGTAATTGGTAAGCAAGTGGTTCATATAGGTGAGTAGCCCAACTCTGTATTTCTTATAAAATAGTTATTATTTAAAGCTGAATATCTTAATAAACATAATACTTAAGATTATAAAACTTAAATATATATTAATTAAGTATATTTTCTATTTATAGTATTATTTCTAAAGACTAAAGAATTATATTTTATAAAATATTTAAAATCTATATTAAATTATAAAAAATACTGAAAATATATATATATTTAGATAATTAAAATATATATTAGGTTTTCTCTAGGTTATACTAGATAATCATAGTAATATTAAGCTTAATCCTAAGTTTTATAAGAAATCTATAAGAAATAGTTGAGATATTTAGCTTTTAATAATAGCTATTTTATATGGAATACGGAGCTGGGCTACTCGCCTATATGGACCACTCGCTTACCGATTACGTTAAGTAGAAGGTAGCTTAGTGAGCATGCTTAACCGGAGCAGAAGTTCTCCGCAAAATCGGTATGCTCTTAGGCCGTTCTCAACTACAGCCAGTGTGCAGATACTGTATGCTGTTATCAACTATCTAGATACAACCATGTTCTCTCGCATTCTACCTTCTACCGTGAGTCATAATAGTCTGGCTCTAGCTACCTCACGAGACTTACAGCAAGATATGATCTCCTAGGCATTCCGGCCACTCGCCCGCCCATCCTACTTCACTCAGCCTCGCTTGCCAGGCTCACATTTATCGTTTTTTCTTAATGCCCGTCTGTTGTCATCAGAAACTCGGACTGCTATCGATAAAGCAGTCGCTTCTGCACCAGTTGTTCTCTTCATGAAGGGCACTCCGGAGACTCCTCAATGCGGTTTCTCACGGGCCAGTATACAGATTCTAGGTCTGCAAGGCGTCGATCCCAAGAAGTTTGTCGCCTTCAATGTTCTAGAGGATCCAGAGCTGCGTCAGGGTATGCTCTTAACTCCGGCTGGGTGGATGTGGGTTCTGTTGTTCACATAGAGTTCGGCTAACTTCCAAATCATTTCGACCCGTAGGTATTAAAGAATATTCTGACTGGCCCACAATCCCCCAGCTTTACCTCGATAAGGAGTTCATTGGTGGCTGTGATATCCTGATGTCAACGCACCAGAACGGGGAGCTCGCCAAAATGCTTGAAGAAAAGGGCGTGCTCGTGGCGGCAGACTAGTCACGAGCAGATTATCTTCCTTTCCTATGATTCATTGTTGTGTGCTTTGGTCGGGCCCTAATTCTAGTCATGCAGACTGTTCGATTACCTTGTTACTGGAAAGGACAAAAAGAATGCAATCTATTGGTCTATTGCTGCACCTATACACTCGCCGAGAAAGATTGGAACACCAACATCCATGGGAGTTTCCCGAGTGGGGAATCACCTTCGGAACGATTTTCCCTGTACCTATGGGATATGTGTATAAAGTATCACAAGCCAGAAATGGCCGGATTACAGTTCGAATTCCAGATCCCATATTTTGTTTATTCATAATGCGCGTCTGCCAACCACCGGCACTGATCCAATGTCTTGAAATAAACTATGGTGGATGCCACCCGCGATTCATGCTATACTTTCCTCTTTCGATTTGGCTAAACCCTCGATAACGCCTTTTTCCACTTTAGCACGTTGTCTCGCCTCGTATGCGTCTCTACTCTTCAAAATTCTGTCGACGATTTCACCAGCATTGACGTGCTGATAGGCATGGCTCGGAGTTTCCTTGAAAATACCCATCTTCTTTGGGGCAATATAGGGATCATAGGTTAGAGGTATGAACGTCGTGGGACCATGGTAAACTGCATCTGGTACACCCAGAGGCATTGCTTCCAGATATGGCTGGCTCGGGGAGAAGGGAGCCGAAAATACGGCAGCATGAATGTACTAGGAGGGAAGGGTTAGCATGGTAAGGATAAGTTACTCCCAATCTTCGAAGCATGTTGTAACTCACGCGACACTGAAGGACACACAGTCCACGCTCAAAAATATTCATGATGGGGTAATTGAGTCCTTTCCAGTAATTTATGACGTCATCGTCATGGATGCCAGCAACAACAAACGCCGGCTCATAATCTTCGCCATGGTCCTTAATTCTCTTTTCCCTGGCTTCATAGTCATACCAATGGCGGCGGTGGCCTTCGAGTTTTTCTGAATCGAGGACTTGGCGCAGAAATTCAATATGACCCGAGGAAAATAAATCAAAACCCCCATCCACATACACAATACGTTGCCCCGGCCTCGGTAGCTTTCCCCCAACAATCTGTTCAAAAGATCCGGGCTCTTCAGTTGTATTTCCTAGCTTGGCGGAGCTGGAGCCATTCCACACCCAGACACAGGGGCCTGGTTGTAGACCGGTCTCATCAGTTGCGTAGTCACGGATTCTCTGGAGCAGATTCTCGGCAGATTGTGTGCGTTCCTGTTCGCTGCCAGAGCCTTCTTTGCCATTGATCATACCCTTCACACTTCTGACGAAGTGCCCTTTGGTACAGAGAAGCATACGCCCAACAAGGTCTGTTGTTGATATTCCTGGTGTTCTTTTAACCACTCGGAAGCGGCCTGCAGCCTTCACATAACGATAGCAGTCTTCACCGTTGCTGTCGGAGGTTATGTCATCACCATGCACGACATACTTGCATCCATAATGTGACACCCAAGGCAGGAAGGTCACGTAAGGGGCCGATGGAACACAGCGAGTTACCCATCGGCACGCTTCTACTGCAGCTACTCTGAGTCAAGATCAGCCACACCTTGCAATGAACTTGATTGTCTTCACAGAAATCAACGTACCTCTCCTCCAATCTCATCACAGTTGGACCCTTGTTCTCAAGGATCGCCTCGTCGGAATGTACGCCGACATAAAGTTCTCTGCCTAATTTACGGGCCTGCAGCATGGCACCAGCGTGTCCTAGGACACAAGACTCAGCTTTCAAGAACAGGCCAAAGAGAAAGAAGATTCGACCCCCACCGTGATGACTAAAATCAAAACACCCATCTACCCAGATACGATCCTCTGAGATGGGTAGGTCGTCCTGAGGATCAGCTGGCCATCTGCCAGGGGGTGGAACTATGTCTTCGGCTGATGCACTCATGTTAAAGAGGTCCGTAACGTTTTTTGGAGGAGACGCGACGACGGGAAAGGTGAATGGAATCGAGACGACCAGAGATAATTGAACCAGTTATGGTCCTTATCCAAGAAGTCCGAGACTCAATGAAGAAAGAAAAGAAAAGAAAAGAAAAGAGGCAATGGACGTTCCCTAGTGACGGTGAAGCAGTATTGAGGGGTAAGAGGGTGCGTCGAAAGAGGAGCTAGTTATTGGGCCTAAGCGCGGGTATAGTGGACGGGCGGAGTATAGCCTTACTGAGTAGTCTCAGGTCTGGTAACTTAGTATGAGAAGGCGTTGTTAGGTGATTATGAGAATGTTGGTGTATATGGTTCCTGCACGTGTGTATGTACAGTATGCGGTGAAATCATGTGGCCCTGTTTGGCCTCCCTGATTTCCTCGTTCTCTCAAGGGTTTGAGCTTTGATAACTGGAAATGTACATTCAAATCAGTATTTGGTAATACCTTGGACATGCCAGGAGGGGAGGGGGTTAAAGTCAACACGAGTACAAGATACAAGGAGCTCCCATTTAGGCTTTGATCTTGGCCGTGGTAGATTTGGGAAAGTGTATTCGAGACCCGAGACATTGTGTCAAGAACTTAGAGCCATGAAATCAGTGTTTATCTTTGTTCCAACAGTCACTTCCAGCTGATCCAAACTCACCGCTACAGAATACATGCTAAGTGCACGTGACCTTGTCGCCCCAACGACAAATCGTACCTGGAGTCACAAGTTCAGTTGCTATTCGGATTTTCAGGATAAGCAGGATCTCACGGCACGCTTGTAGTATGGTGTATTGCATAATTGACAGACGCAAAAAGTCCGTGGCAGCATTTCAGCAGTCATTGGGTTTCGGGCAGTTGCCGGGCCTATCTGGCAACGTCTTGAGTATATGTTGATGTGAAAGCAAGAAGGCGGCTATTAGAGTCATTGACTAAAAAAGAGCTGGCTTTGTACATTATGGTGTCACGGTATATTATGACATGGATAAGCTTATATTCAGATCAATTATAATACAAAGATACGACCCTGCAGCAGGGTGGACAACCAGGGTGTAGTAGGAGACAAGATATGAAGCCGAAATTCTAGTACTTTTGTGCTGGGGACATGCCTCATCAAGCCGTAAATGCTCGTTTAGCTAAAACAAGCGTTTGAGCTGAATCCAAATACCTCAAACTCTGAGTGAAACGGAGATTTGAAATGTAAAGTCGATAGGTGGAATCGAGAAATGGAAAGGGAAAATCCCTGGCACCGGACGCTTATGGACACCTCGAATTGACGCCAAGTATATGCAAACGCTCAGAATATAACAATGATTGAATATGAGAAGATGGTGCGTGGGTCAAGATGAGATGATGATGAATATTAGAGTCGGTTGCTGTCGAGCTCCCGCTGTTCACTGAAAACTCGTCGACTCATTTCCAGAACGGCTTCGAATCCCTCTCGACCTCGCTTCGCGTTTTGGCTGAATCGTTCCACACTCGCCTCCTCGACTTTGTTCTTGATTTTCTGCCACCCTCCACACAGTGCAGTAATCTTCGCTTCTTGATTGAACTGTGTAGTAGAGTGTGGATCAGATGGTGAGGGCTGATAGACGACAGTTTCCCTGACGCTGAGAACGTTTGACCACGTGAGATTTGTCGAACACATCGTTACCACTTTGGAGACCGGATCAACATATGATACTTCGTAAACATGGGACGTAGCGCTGCCTCCGAATAGCGAGAGCACCCACTGAGGCACAGACTGATTGCAAGTAATCAAACGTTCGGTGCGCAACTGGAATGAGATCATGACATTAGTGATGCTGATTCTATCTGAAGCGGTTTCGAAAAGGCCATAGCCACCTACTATACCAGTGCTCGAATCCACACTCCGGGAGAGTGTGTCTACTGCCACGACATGTGTCGACTTGTCATTCCAAGGGCAGTATTTGCGCCAGTTTGCGGCTGAAACCTCCTCCCATGAGTAATCAAATGTACATGATGATGAGAAGACCTTCATGGCGGGCACCAGTGAATGTATATCAGTCTTCGACTAAAGAAATTTGAGCCGAGCTCCAAAAACTGAATGCGAAAGAGTGTAAGTTGTATGACCAAGACACGGCGGCGAAGGCAGAAGACAGATAGTAGAAAGTGGATAAGACTTTAATAAACAATCCGAACCACTACGAAGAGGTGGCGAAAGTCAATGACTACAAGGGATATATTCAAGCGCAAAAGTCTCCCCCTTTGATGATGAGATAGGGTGGAGGCGAGGCACTGGAATAACAGCGGGTGGCGACAGCTTCGCAACTTCTGGATGACTCGGGCGGTTAGGAAATCAACGGTGGAAATTTTTGCATCCGTAACTCTAGGCAGCGCCAAGGATCGGACTTTCCCGGCTTGACCAGAGGGAGAACTGCGCATGGAAAGTACCTGACTTAAACCTCATACGGCGAAGCATCATAGTCTTTGCAAGTGCAAAATATCCTACCTGTTATTGCCATTTGATTGAGTAGGCCCATGATAATCCCAAACTGATTATCTCAATTTGACAATCCAAAGAATTCGATTTTCCCATCATTATACCCTTATACTTATTTGCTCCGAGATGGCCCTACATCCCTTGTTAGGGTATATTACAGTGGCCCCGCTACTTGTCCCTTAGCAGTCTACACGACCTCGTCACAACCCAGGTATAATTCTTAGATGTGCATACATGGAGTGCCAATAGCATTTCCTTCACAAAAAGCCCACACAAAACTGGCTTTACAAATATAATGAACCACTCATATCTTTCTAATGTAGAGTTCTTAAAGTTGTTATGCATGAGGGACCTTTCAACTAGAGTTTCTGAAAGGTATCGTTCGAAACAGTCGAGAAACCAGATGAGGACAGGCTACGATATCTTCTTCAATGAGACATTGCACGAATCAAGCTTCAACTTGAAAGTCAGACGAAGTGCCAAGAGGCTTTTCGATAACATGACCTTGCGGGACTTATAAAGTCGAGAACTTCTATTGTGGTGTTTTGGTCCTTGGTGTTGTGCTGTCGCTAACCCATCCCTTACCCGTCATTGGATTAGCAACATGACAAGTATTTAAGGATACTTAGGATCTCAAAAGACCTACCAACTTGGTGGTTACTGTCTCTCCACACAAGTGCAGCGTGAACAGCAGACCATCCCCTCCAGAAGCACTTGATTTTGATACCTTGCAAAACTACCTGCAGCATTTTCCCATCAAAGGTCACGGCTCATCGAGATGGTCGAATTAAGGAAGCGGAAAGCACAACCTCTCGACACCGGACGGGAAAGCAAGCGCGTTCAGACACCCATCCCGACTTTAAAAAGAGCGCCTGAAAACATCAAGGCTAGTGCCTCTTCATCTCACAATGCTCGCCATCAAATCCCGAAAGCCGGAGAGACGCTGGACCTGAGTCATTTTGGTGGTGAATTTGAGAGCCATGATGGGAAGAAGCTTACATTGAAAGATCTTGTCGACTGTAGCAAGTCTGGAGTCGTGCTATTTACGTATCCCAGAGCCTCAACCCCTGGATGTACGTGGAATTGGCATTTGATTTTTTGATGATGGACTTCGACTTCTTTGGCAATTAGTATGCGATGCACTCATGTACCTTTTTTCTCGACTATTCAATCCCGTTTGTCCTTCTTGTTGCAGACTCACCGCATGACAGATTAGATTTTGAAGTCAACTAACAACAGGACAGGTACAAAGCAAGCCTGTTTATTTCGCGACAACCATGATTCTCTAACTGCAAGTGGTTTGTCGGTTTACGGTCTTTCGGCGGATTCTCCCAAGGCAAACACCACTTTCAAGACAAAACAGAACCTGCCATACACTCTTCTGTGCAATCCCTGCTATTCTTTGATAGCTGCTCTAGGGCTTAAGAAAATGCCCAGGGGAACACTACGCGGGGTTTTCGCTATAAACAAGCAGGGTGAAGTACTCCTACATAAAGTGGGTGGCCCGGATGCAACATTCGACGCTGCGCGACGACTTGCCGATGCTTGGTGAAAGAGTGGGAAATTTCCAGGGCTGCACCTACGCAAAGACCAATCTGCCACGGTAAGGCAGACGTCAAGATACTAGATGAATCATACCAGCAAGTGACTAATGGTCGATAATCGAAGTAGAGTATTCTATGATGTTCCTCGGTAAATGTGAATGTGCCACTTCCAAATGGATAGCGCGGCAATTTTTATGGCGTCTCTGAGTTGTAGTGCATGAAGATTCCAGTGAGCTGAGAATGCACGTTACCAGTCATTTGTTCGATAACACGTATTCTTTGCAGGTTACTGCTCCAGCTGCTCGTGCCATCATGCTAACTCAATAGAGAGCCTTTCCAGGAATTTGGCTTCCGTCTACTCTGTAAATGCAAGGTATATGCTTACAATCAGATCACAGTCGGAGATACTATTGTTCCGCCCGCAACGACTCGACCTCCGCGAAAGGCCTCCACCAGATTCACTTGCTACTGACAGCGAGCTATCGATTCCAGATTAACATTACTGACGTCGGATTCTCAAAGGTACGTTATTCGATGAAATTTGCGGCGATTGATGTCAATGCTTTGCTGTGGAGTCGATTGTGCGGTTCAAAATTTACACACTCACGGATCGAACAGGACATCATAATGGCTCGTGACATAATGAAAGCGGCCAAGTCGGCATCCAACGTGATAGCTGTTCACAAGGTTCGTCGTCCTGCGATCGCAGTGCAGTATCGAATCTGCTAATATATTTTTCCAGAAATACACTGTTCAATCAACTGGTATATGGGAGCGTATCCGCCGCCTTTTCGCCATTGACCCCGATCGCTCTACTGGCGTTCCGTTGAACTCCCAATTTCGCCTGCCGGCTCCAGGATCTCTTCCACCTTTGTCCTATGATGATCCAGTCACTATCCCCGCAGGCGACATTGCCGATAACCCTTACTGGAAGCGAGACGTGCGAAGAAATTACCCCAGGCTCAGTACGGTCAGCCAGGCAGATGCCGTTGGTCTTCTCAGCGTAGGAAGTCAAGCAGCACCCAAAGAGGTTCTAAAGCTCGGTGAAGCAGGCGAAAAGCAGCTGGTATCGATCAAAGAAGAGGGAGAGGAGCGCGGTCTCGCCGGTCTTTTCAAGAAAGACAAGGCGGGAGTCAAAGGCGTTCTGGGTGCAAATGGGTTGCCACCCTTGCCTTGCAGCTTGAATTCTTCAGCCTCCAAGTACCAGTTGGGTCATGAACATGGCTACCCTGGCGTGTAAGTTATATCTCATGTCGCAGTGTTATTAAATAACTGACGCCCTGGAAGGTACCCCTGTCGCACTTTTGTTTAAATATACTTAGGTGTAGATATGCATTATCATTCTTCAAATTCAAGTGCTATCCTGGGCTCGAATCTTCCCATGCAAATTTTACGTGCCTGTAACTCGAATATCTGATACATATATCTTGCATCCGAATGTGCTAGACAAGTTCGGAGGATGAACAACTCTCCTTTTGCGTGGGCGAGCTCATTGCTCAAAACATATATTGAACATTGTCATACGATCTACTTACCTACTACTCAATGTGCCCCAGTCAGTCAAGGTCGGTCGTTATTCAGGATTGATATGAGTGGAATAATCTTCTTGAAGATGGCTTTGGATGTCAATTGTTCTTAGTGCTTTGAATGTGTTTTCAATATCTGACGGTAATATAACTTACAATTGCAAATCTGGTGGGAAGATAAAAGCATTGTGAACCCTGTCTACCTGGGTTCTCTTCTCTCAGGCCAGCTATTCCATCACCTAAGCAATACATTTACTATATTTGGCAAAGCCGTCTTTAAGAAGCTGCGAGGACTTGAGAAGCTCCATAAGGCTCAAACAACATCATTAATTAGTCGGACAAGCATAAATCATGAATTCGATTGCCAAGTATCAACTACATATCACAAAAGAGCCTCTTTCACATTTAAATCACTCAAGCGAAAGGATTGGTACGCGTACCCCACCAAGTAAGGAACAGGCTGAGTCCGACTGTTTCGAAGACCCTGCTAACGGCGCCCACAGCAACTGTGTCGATGGGCCGCCTCTCTGTGAAGATCTGGCTGATGAACTGCAATAATAGAGGTAAATTAGATCAATGTCCATCAATTCGTAGCATGAAAAGCCATTCCTAGAAGACTTACACTTGGAGCTGCACTGGCCATGAAGACCAAGCTTCCCAGATAGGCCGCACCCTTATAGCTTAGGGTCCCGGTTGCATTGATCAATGCCGCCACGCCGTAGGTCTGTACAGCACTTCCAACTAAAGAACTACCCCAGGCCGCCGCAGCACCGGCAGTTTCTCTGGACTTGAAGAACTCTTCCTTTGAGTTGGCGGCTTGGGCTCGATGGTAGGTATCACCAAACACGGGAGCCAGGATACCAAGTGAGGCAGTGTGGGTGAAAATAGCTCCCACTGCGATCGCGGACGGCTTCACGGAGGGCAAATCTAGATATTCCAAATCAGCCAACGGCTCCAACATCACTAAAAGAATAAGTAGTGCAGGGAAGGCACCGACAGTTGAGAGTCGTCATTTTGATGGCTGAGGTTATATTCGAAAACGTCTAAAAGACCTAGGTGAAAGTTCTGCGGATTGCGATGCTAATAGTTCCACTTGATATTCGAAGGGGAAGAAGGTCGCTTTATTAATCTCTCCAGGTTCAAAGGGTCACATGCCATTGCCGTCATAATGGTAGGAAGACCGGTGACGAGATGAGCAGTGACGTCGTCATGATTTAAAGACGTAAAGACGGACGATCTGGTTGATGGGTGAGCTCCAGATTGGTCATAGTTGGTGAGACTAGGTGGCACTTGGAGAAGAGCTTCTGAGCGTGACGTCATCTAGCTTCGAAGACGAGATGGCCTGACGATGTTGGTACTGCACCATGGGTATTATATGAAAGTAAATTGGGTAACAGGAGTACCGGCTGAGAGCGAGTTACAGGCGTCATGCCGTGCGAGCGATTCAATACATCATGATTGCTACCTCGAAGTGCATATCCTACTCAGAATAGTTGATAACAGTAAGAAGGCGCAGAGGCGGGTAACTACTTGAGCATTGACAAGCACCTGTCTATCCTCTCTATTTTGCCAAGTAATAGATGCATGGATGCACTTACTGGTTTAGCTTGGTTTCTCTGCTTTTTGACATGAAGTCAACAATAATTACAGTGTAGAGATGACAATCTGAACAGCGCATGCTTAAAACTACATTGTCTAGAACTTTTCAGAGATCTTTAGCCCTGAGCTTGGCTGGTAGATAAGTTTTAATTTTTTTTTAAAAAAGACTTCTGGTTTGTAACTACATACCCTGTTGTATTGAACAAGCTAAAACCATAGGAAGATGCGATTGGTACTCACTATATAGATGATGCTACTTATATTAAACTTTTTGAAGCCCACTGTAGGATTGTGCTCAAACCCATTATATGTTCAAATTTTCTTCTTGATAATAGATATATTTGAAGGATAACTATTCTATCAAACTCAGATGAAGTATAAGGGGGGAAATGAAGGGCATCCGTAATCATTGATCAATGAATTTGAATGTAGATGCTGAATTTATAGTAGGAGGAAATTAATATGCACCCCCCCACCCCGTGGAAGGAGCTCGGCACTTTTCCTAATGGAATTTAGCCTATAGTTATTCTGCCAGCTTCTTCTCATATATTTCAGGCGGTGCGTGAGCACTCCAGGAAGGCGGTAACTCTCGAACCAAACATTGGGGGGGTTGGTGTTGGGGGGTGCAAAATAATTTCCTGTGACTGTAATGTGAACTATGTTACAGGAGACAAGTAAGCATAAACAGAGGCCATGAGGCGAGGACAAGGCACCGAGCTGATGTGCAGCCAAAATACTAATGGATGGCCTAAAACACCTTATAAATGCTACCCTCAAGAAGTCAGGCTCAATTTTATCAGGAATGATATTAACATTAAAGTACTCAAACATAAGATTTCTACTTTACTGCTTTACTTTTCATAATCTAATATAAGTAGTACTGTTATAGAGTAAGTGTTAATAGTATCTTCTCTTCTGTATTAAGTGCCAGGGTGTGCCCTACAAGTCCAGTACAAATGCCCATTCTGGAAGTGGGGCCACTAACTGGGTATCATTTTTTCAGACAAAAAAGCAGAAAAGAGATCCCAGGAACAGCTTGACTCAGTAGGGTAACCTAAAACCCTGAATACTTTGCTAGTACTACTCTCAGAACTATTGTTCAGTGGCTTTGGTATAAACCTAACTGTTATATATGGTTGGTTCACTTGAAAATGTAAATGTGGGTTGAACTGATCACTCTGACCGCCCTCGTTCATCTCTCACCACTTCCCAATCAGGAAAGAATCAAGAAGATGTTATATGATTTAACACTATTCATTTTCTATAAATATATCATAAGGACTAAGGATTGAAATAGTATAATAAACAAATATCTCCTATAAGAATCAAAGATAGTATTATATTATTTTAAGATATTATTACTAGTTTTCTATTCTTACAGATAGATATTATTTAGATAATAATTATAATTATTTATCTAATTCTTTTTATGATTTTTTATCTTATTCCTATAAGAGTAGTTAATAATTCTTAAAAGAAATTTATTATAAAAATTGTAAGAGTATTAGCTTTTATAACTGTCAAAGATATAACCCACTCAGCCTAATCCAGCTTAGTAGATTTTTTTCCTTTAATAAACTAAATAAATAATACTACCCAGCAAGTATAATCTACCCCTAATTATTTAACTCGAAATTAATCTATCTCTTAATCAGAAAATAATCAATGATCTGATTAAGATATAAAAAAAGATTCATTTAGTTATTATTTTCTTAATTAGTTTAATTATTTAGATTATTATATATTAAATTTACCATTATTTGTATTAACTCCTTAGTTCATTCTTGAATTAGCCTTTTTATTTATTGATTGATTTCTTAGTTAGAAAATAACTTAGTTATTTTATTTTATCTAATTTTTACTATATTGAATATTTATAAACCCCGAATTTATTTTATTAATTTTTTAATATCTCTGAATTACTATAGATTAAATACTGAGTTAAACTAATTTAAATAAAATAGTAATACTTGATCAGTAAGATGATTAATTAATATGAATTAATTAAATTAGATTATATACTATTAATAAAGATATATGGAAATAAATAAATTTAAAGTTTTCTAAAAAGTCTAGTTACTCAATTTAATTTAATTTATTTCTTATTTAAAATATCAAAGTTAACATAGAATTATTTAAAATTCTAAATTTAAATAAATTATTTCTTTAAAAAAATAAAAAATATAAGTATTAGTTCTTGATTAAGAGATTTAAGAAATTTAATTTAATTTAAACTAAGTAATTTTGTTAATTATTTCTATATTAAATAGACTAAATAATATAATTATATCTAATTTAAAAAAGTCTTGTTAGATTTATAGAATTCTAAAAATTTATACACTATTCATAGTAAACCTTAGCTTATCTAAGAATTCTACTATTCTATCTTTCTACTATTTTTTATACTGCCTTAGTAGAAGATTTCTTTAATCTCTAAATTTTAATTCTTCTTAAGATTTCTCTCTAATCTGACTTTTTTTATTTATTTATTTTTTAGCTTAGTTACCAATTATTAAATTATTATAATATATAATAATATATTCTAATTCTTTAGAAAATAAGATATTATATTTAAGTTTATACTAGTTAAATATTTTTTTATTTCTATATTTACTTATTTTTTTATTTATTATATGTTAGATTTTTTATTTTAATATCTTTTTTCCTGTCTAGCTGAATATATAGTTTTTTATATTAATATTTTTTTAAATCCAATTTATTATATCTATTTCTGCTTTTATAATGTACCTGACTTTTTAAATTTTTTTATTATTTTAATTCTAGTTTTAATTTATTTAATTTATTATTTAATATACTATATCATTTATAATTTTAAATTAGTCTATTATTCTAGATTCTAATATTATATATATAATTTTTTAATAAAATCTTTTATACTATATTAAATATTTATTTTATATTACTTTTATCTATTTATTATTTATGATATTTATTTACTAATTATATTTTATATTATTAGTTCTTAATATTAGTTTTATTATTCCTAGACTATTATCTAAATATTTTTGAAATCAATTTTTTATAATAAGCTTGTTATTTATTTATTATTATATTTATTCTATTTTCTAGAATATTAATAAATTTATATTACATAAAAATCTTAGTTTTTTTATTAAACTTATTAACTATCTCTATATATCTAAAATATACTTTAATTAGTTATTAAATCTAGATTTTTAGTAATTACTAGAGTTTTTTATTAAGCTAAAATAATTACTAAAATATATATATTTAAAAACTTTGACTATATTAAAATAATTTATTATATTTATATTATAAATAGTAATATCTATTTTTATATTTTATTTTATATTATTCAAAGAATTTAGTAATCTAGTTATACTAATTCTAAGTTTTATTATATTAAAATTAATTAAATCTATTATTTCTAAATAATATAATATTAGTATTATTAATTTAAATATATTTTATATTATCTAATATTTTAATATCTTGATTAAATTATTTATTAATTTAATATTTTAAATATTATTTACTAATTTTATTTTATATTTTGATTTTATATTTATCTTCTGTATTAGTTTTTTTTATATTATATTATTTTCTAGAATTTACTCTAAGTTTAGTAAATTTTTATACTTATAATTATATTAAACAGCTGTTATTTAGATATTATAAAAAATATTATAAAAAATATTTTTAAAAGTTTATAAAATAAATTAAATCTTATAAAAATATTATAATTTATAAATATTTTTATATTTCTATTATTTTTTAATAAATAATAATATTAGTTATAAATATAGTATTATTAAGCTGTAAGGATCAGGTGATCTTACAAGCCTGCCTCAGGCAGTCAATTACTTAATTAGGGTCAATGGGTCCATAATAGCCTGATTCAGGCCTGAATCAGGGATTGTGGGTAATGTTGGCTGACTGGCTATTGTTTTGAATGAATCCCATTGTTCCTTCCTTACATAAGCTGATTAAATATATTAAAATTAAATCATTCAATAATTCTACAAATATTACTAAAATATTATTAAATATTATAAAAGTAATCTTATACTAATATCTAGATATATCAGTTCTATTATATTAATATATCTAATATTATAAAAATTATAAAAATATTTAATAATATTTTTAGTAATTCTAGCTAGCTGTAATAAATGATATTAAAAATTATACTAATTAATATTTTTATTTATCTTAATAAAATAAATACATATTTTAAATTTAAATTATTAATAATTAAAATTTTCTATTAAATAAAGAATCTTAAACTTAAAAGAATTAATTACTTTAATTTTAATCTATTATTAAATAAAATTATAAAGTAAATTAATAAAGAAATAAACTATAAGAATATTATTATTATTATTATCAATTATATTTATAATATTATATAGTACTACAGAGAATCTATAATTAAATAAAATTTATAAATTTATATATATAATATAATTTATATCTAATATATTATTAGTTTTACCTATTTTAAATATTTATTAGTTTTAAAATAATGATAAGTTTTAAGAAACCTAATATTAATATAGATTCTAGAACTTGATTTCTAGATTATTCTAAAAGGAATTAATAAAATTATAAATATATATAATTATAAATACTAATTTAATAATATTAATTAAAGATTTTATTATATTTATAAATAAAATAAAAAGTATTATATCTGATATTTTAAATAATAATTAGAATACTTCTATAAATATATATATATAGTTAATTTAAATATACTAATTATTTAAT